AGGGTCCGGCTTCACCATCTTCCTTTCTCTGCCTCCCCTCCCCAACTAGTTTTGTTTGTGAACATTTTTGATGTTGGCAAGTGGCCAAAGAATTTGCCATAAATAAATTTGCTGTCCGTCTACAAGCGGATAACGGACTGCTTGGTCTCGCTAATTTGCTTCAGCATTGGGAATGGCTGAGGCCTGGGGATGCTGCAAACCTCAGAAGGACTGTCTGCATGGACATTTAGAAATCCTACTCTCCTGAGCCTTCCACATGCCAGCTAGAGGCACAAGTCATGGAGGACAAGTTCCTGTGCCCCCCAAGCCCCAAATTTACCACTAGTTCACCAGAAATGTATCTCAAGGATCTAGAAGTAAAGTGAAAGAAGCAGAGTATTCTAATCTCTTCCTAACATTCTTCATTGAAGACAGTGGAAAAATCAAGGGATTACAGTTTTGTCCAAGTTTAAGTAGAAACAGCAGAAACACAACACAAGGAATCCCTTTAATGTGCTATAACCTTGAGCTCTGAAAGCCCCAAACCCACACATCCCATTTGCTTGCAGGTATTACTAAAATTTCTGTTGACTCAGATTAAAATCCAAAGTAGATTTTTTTACCACTCCAGGTTTGTACTTTTCATAGTTGACTGTTGATCTGGACAATCTGAGTCCCCCAGAGAGTCAATTAGGAATCTGATTTCAGTTCACGTTTTAGTGTATACAGTTAGCATACAGCAGGTGCTTTGTTTTTTTTACTAAAAGAACTCATATATGAAAATGCCCAGAAATGGAAACTTCTGATTTCTTCTGAAGGTGTCATGTTTATTGACAGACTGAATAGATTCACTTTAATTTGGATTACCTGTGGGGGCTTTACCATTGGGTTCCTGTTCAATTTTCTTTTATTAAAACCACGGGATACAATAAACCAGAAAACGTAAAAATCTGACAGTACCCAATGTTAACAAGCTGAAGAGCGAAAGGAACACACAGGCTGCCGCTGTTGAGAGAGTAACAGTACAGATGAATGGAAACCAATTTGACGCTAATGACGCCGAGAGCGTGCATATTTGCCACCCAGCAGTTCCATCCCTGGTGCGAGTGCAATACTTTAAAAGCTGCTGGTTGATTGATTATGAACCGTTAGTAGCTCAAGAAATCAATACAGGGGACCATAGGCAGAATTTTTTTAAATAAAATGAAATGGAGTGGAATGGAATGGAACAGAAAATATCAAAAGGCATCCCTTGTAATCAAAGTATTGTTCTGTGAAAGATATAAATTGCAAAACCAATTTATATCCTCTGTAGGTCATGGTCAGAAAAGCTTATAAAATACTATTCTAGAGAAACTCTTGTGTCTGAGCTCAGATTTATAATAGAAAACAGTCTTTATATAAATTATTTCATATTCTATGTGCTTACATCCACTAAGAGTAGGCCCTGAAATATATGTTCATTGCAATTAGAATGGATAAAAATATCTGTGGGACATTAATACAAATGAACACCATAGAGCAGTAAACATGAATAACTTCAGCTCAGGCATCAACATGATGAAATCTTAAACCTAACACTGAGAAAAAAAGGAACACACACAGTAGATTTCATTTATATGAAATGAAACGAAATGGAGCATTTATATACTTCAGCAGTGTGAAAAATTTCAAGTATTTATTGTGTATGGATACATACATATGTAATAAAATCATCATGAAAGACAGGAGAATGATGAATGCAAACTTCAGGCTCACGACCACCTCCAGGAGGGAGGCAGAGAAAGGGGCTCTAGGGGGAGGACGGAGATTGTAAAGACATTAGAAACACTCTGTTTCTTAAACTGAGTGCCAGGAATACGGCTATTTACTTTACTATTCTCTGAAGTGTGTATATATAGTTATTTATACTCTTTTATAGAGATTATATATGTCATAATAAAAAAATATGGGTTGTGATATATGTTTCCAGGATTTATCATCTTGTTTTGGGATTCACGTTGCTCATCTCAACAATGTCACAAATCAATTCCTTGATATAAGTTAGAATAATACTTTTATCTATTAACTATACCTCAAATGTTACTTTCACCTCTCATATAACTTATGACTTGAGAATGTGAGAAGATTTCATTGCTTCTAGAGCTAAGTGAAATACAATATTCAGTGAGGTCATAACATTCCACGTAGGAATCCATTCTCTGGCTTCAGTAGTTATAATAAACACGCTAAACTACGTCTGTAACACATGACGAAGCTCTTTACAAGGTTACTTTATGCTCCTTTCATTGATATTGCTCCTTACCACCTGTAAGCATGACATAGGTGGGTAGGTCCCCTTGCAATTCCTGCCAGCCTAATTAAATGTATACTTTAAAACCTCATATCTCCATCTTGTTTTGCAACTGGATAAAACTCAGTATGTTTGTAGGAAAAACTAAAAATAACAATCATCATCATCATCATAAGAGCAAAACAAGACAAAAATCTGAGCGCTGCCTTGTAAAGAAAGAACCTGGTACTGATGTATCAGGTTGCACCCTCTTCCCCAGCCCTGATCATTTAGTTCCACCACAATCGCCATCACTCTCTTTCAGGGCAGACAGGGATACACTTACACCAATCTAAGGTAATCAGACTGCGTTAGAGCACAGGATCTATTTTCTACCTATTTAGAATGGGTGAATATATAAGTAGTGAAAATGCAGAAAAGGTATTCAGTGGATGTTATGTGGCCTATCTGGATGAATATAAAGTCAAAATTTGGCAAATGGCTGTTCAATTTGGATTATAATTTGTCCAAATGCTATTTGCTTTTTAAGACCTAACTCAAATTCTGTATCCTCCGTGAACCTCTTCCTGGTTTCCTCTCCCTGTCTCCACTCAGGTAAATATAATAGTTCTCCCTCTCAACCTACATGATTTTTCTTAGCACTATTCCACATTATGTAATGGTTCTATGTGTTTATATCACTAAGAATAGACACTGAAATATACGTTAAATATTCTATGAATAATTAGTGAAAATTATTTACATTTTTAAAAAGCAAATGATTATCAGCCAGGATTCTAAATTGTAAGTAACAGATATCTGGCTAAAGGAAGCAAAGGTTAATCTGTGAAAAACATATTGAAGGTCTCTTGGAAAGATATTTGGAGAAACAAGCTTGGGAATAAAGAGCAACCATGGGTCCTGGAAAGGAGGAGCCATAGCAGGAGAGTGGTCAGCAGCCCACTCTACAATAAAAGACCCCTGCTTTTCCCTCCTGAAAATGCCCTCGCAGAAGACTGCACACAGTGAGATAGGGGTAATTCTCAAGATGAAGAAAAGAAAGGAAGGTCAGAGGGAAGAAGGGAAAGAGAGAGGGAGAGAGTGAGTGAAATATCAGAACGGCCAAAATAAAAAAATAATGGAAATACTGAACGCTGACTGGGATTCAGGGAAATTGAACCACTCATGCATTATTGATGGGAATGCAAGATGGTACAGCCACTCTGGAAAACAACTTGGCAAACAATTCTTATAAAACTAAACATGCAACTACCATATGACCCAGCATTTGCACTCTTGGTTATTTACCCCAGAGAAATTGAAATTTATGGTCACCTAAAAATCTGAACAGGAATGTTCATAGCAGCTTTATTCATAATAGCCCCAAAATGGAATCAGCCCAGATGTCCTTCATCAGGTGAATGGTTAAAGAAAGCATGGCGCAGACATGCTGTGGAACACTACCAAGCAGTAAAGGAATGAACTCTTAATATATGCAATAACTTGGATGAATCTTCAGGGACTTATGCTGAGTTAAAATAGCCAGTCCCAAAAGATTACGTACTGCATGATTCCATTTATGTAACATTTTTAAAATGACAATTTTTAGAAATGGAGGACAGATAAATCGTTGCCAGAAGTTAAGGACGTGGTGGGAAATGGGCAAAGGATGGAAGGACATGGACGTGGTTATAAGAGGGCACAGGAGGGATCCCTGTGGTATTGGACCTGTTTGGTATTTTGACTGTGGTGGTGGATCCACAAACATACATGCGTGATCAATTTTAATGTAATCTTCATACACACACAAATGAGTCTAGGGAAATTCTAAATAAACTCAGTGAATTGTATCACTATCAGTATCCTGGTTATGATGTTATACTATAGTTTTACGAAACGTTAGTGTTGGAGGAAAATGCGCAACACACACAAGGGGTCTCTCCATTATTTCTTTCAACTGCATGTGAATGAAAATTCCCTTAATAGAAATTTCAACTCAATGCGCGCACACACACACACACACACACACACACACACACCGTTATTAAACACCAAGTAGGTGGCGAAAATTCATCTCCCTGCTAGCAGCTGAAGGATAATAGTGTAACAGTATAGTATAAATAATATAGTAATAATATAGTAAATAATATAGTATAGTAAAAGGGACAGGTGAATTACTAATTTCCAAAGAGTATGAAAAGTGCTATAGTTACAAGTTTGTGCCACAGGCTGTGGAAGATGGAGGGCCTGCAACAAGCGAGGAAGGATTCACAGAGGGTTTGACATCTTTGCCAGACTGCAAAACCAAAGCTGAAGCTAACTAGATGGTTGGAAAAAGAACAGGGCTGAAGGACTAGTGCGTGGAAAGGCAGGAAGCCTGGAAGATATGGAATGTTTAGGGAATGGCTTTGAGAGTGCTGAAGCTTCAGGTGGAGTCACAGGAGTCCCAACCATGAACAGGATTGTACTCTGTCCTGAGAAGTTGTCATTGGGTCCCTGGGCAACCTATGAGCCAACCAAGAGAGTGAACTGGTTGTGTCACCTCAGCTGAGTGTCACGACCTGAGGGAAATCTCATTTAAGTCTTGATGCACATCAGTAAAATAGGGATAACACTATTGTGAAGATTAAGTAGACATAATTAACTATGTTACTAATTATTAATTAAGTGGACATACATCTAAAGAGTTTAACATTGTATTCAATAAATATGAACTCATAGTAGGAAGAGGAGGAGTAATAGTAGTTACCGTGCTGAGACCTGCAGGAACCTGAAGGACCACAGGTGAGGTAGTGATGCTGGAGTGAATGGAAGGTTGCATAACAGACACGTGAGGACACAGTGTAGCACCTCTGAGAGGCAGAAGGAGCGAGGGGAATTATCCTGTGGAGAGAAGCATAAGGTGTCACCAAGGAAGGAAAACTAGAATATATTAAGTGCCTACCATGTACTTTATGATATTAGCTCATTTATTCTTCACAACAGCTCTATTAAGACAGGTATTATTATTCCCACCATGTAGTAGAGGAAACTGAGACTCAAAGGTAAACTTGCCAAAGATTATATAGGTAGTAAGTGAAAGAACTGAGATTCAAAACCGGGTCTTTGTGTACAATGTCCCTGCTCTTCCCACTACACCAGTTAAATCATTTCCAAGTCTTAGTAAATGGCCCATAAAAAAAGTTCACCATCAGTAATAAGTAATTCTATACAACAACTAATTCTCTATGACTAATAGGGTTTTTATGCCTCTCAGCTCCCCATTCCCCCAAATCACTCTGTTAGAAAAAGAATAGGAAAAAAGTCAACAGGAAAGGAACACGTAATTGATTATGATTATAGCTGGCATTCTAGATGTAGAAAAGATAAATGATTATCCAAGTTGAAGCTGAATGTTTGATAGCACCTTACACTGTCATCCAGTAACAATTACCCCTCAGCTCTTACCTTTCTCCAGTTAAAATCCCTTAATGGTTTAAACATAATCTCCCAAGCTACACACCAAATTAAAACACAAATATCCAGGAATTTGAAGGAGGAAATTCATAGGGAGCGAGGAAATAATGGTGGTCAGCTCCTTGGCTTTTACCCTAGCTGGGTTCAAACCTTTCATTCCATGTTAATTTACCATTTAGAGCCCAGGTAACAAATCTACTTAATCTCTAGGTAGTAATATAGACCAGGAAAAAAAAAATCCTAGCAATGATTCTCTTTAACTACTTTCTACTACAACAAACACTAAAATCTGTGATTTGCGATTTATCTATTTTGCTTTCTCTGAACTGCAGAGATATATGTTTAAGATATCTTATTCTCCTTGGTATTTTATATAAAATACTTATATCTGGACATCCCTTCCCTCCTCTGGCTCATCCACCCGCCTTAAAGTGATTCTGATTTAATTGTCTGGGGTGGAGATCAGAAATTAAACTTTGTTTAAAGTTCTCTCCATGTGATTCTAATGTGCATGCAGGCTGAAAACCACTGCACTAGACTAGAATCTCCAAAAACTATGTCAGCTTTATTTATCACACATCTCCAGTACTGTTCAGACAAGTGATTAAAAACTCAGTAAGGGGACTTCCTTGGTGGCGCAGTGGTTAAGAATCCACCTGCTGATGCAGGGGACATGGTTCAAGCCCTGGTCTGGAAGATCCCACATGCCGCGGATCAACTAAGCCTGTGCGCCACAACTACTGAGCCCGTGAGCCACAGCTGCTGAAGCCTGCACACCTAGAGCCCGTGCTCTGCAACAAGAGAAGCCACTTCAATGAGAAGCCCATGCACTGCAACAAAGGGTAGCTTCTGCTCGCCACAACTAGAGATAGTCCGCGTGCAGCAACGAAGACCCAACACAGCCAAAAATAAATAAATTAATTAATTTTAAAAAAAAACCTCAGTAAGACAAATTGTTGCTCTCAAGGCGCTTATCATCTAGAGCTTAGTTGTCTAATATGACAGTCACCAGCCACATGTGGCTACTTAAATTTATATTTAAATTAAAGTTAAATTAATTAAATTTCACCTCCTTAGTCATACTAGCCACATTTCAAGTGTTTAATAGCCACATATGGCTAGTGGCTACCATATTGCACAGTACAGATACAGAACAGTTCCATCACTGTAAAAAGTTTTATTGGGTAGTGTAACCCTAGAGATTGTATTATTAGAAGAAATTAAAAAAAAATAGATCTTAATTACATAGCTGTGGGATGTATAGAGCTACTGGTATATATAGCATACAGTACACTGCACCAAAATTATTTTACTATCTTTTATGTTATATTTTATATAAAGATAGTATCTTTACACACTACTGCACAAGAATTATTTTATCACGCTGTTATCTTTATATAAATTTCTATGGCTATGCCAATCTATGTTTCTTTGCATAGATCAAAGAACTGTCAAGTTGCCTCACTTATCAAATCCTTTTACTACATGCCTTTAAAAATATTTTTTAATAATTTAAGGCTTATAGAAGAATTGCACAGATAATACAGAATGTTCCTGAATACTCTTTACCCATCTTTCTCTCAGGCTAATGTCTACATAACTATAGCTTATCAAAACATTTCACCCGTTTCTCCACTAAAGTCCCTTTTCTCTCCCAGGATCCAATGCAGTGTACCAGGCTGCATTTATTCATCATTTCTCCTAGTCTCCCCCAATCTGGGACTGTTTCCGTTTTTACTTTTTAATTTATTTATTTTGTTTTGTTTTATTTTCATGACATTGACATTTTGGAAGAGTGCTGGTCAGGTATTTTTGTAGGCTGACCTCACTCTGTGTTTGCTGTTTTCTCATGATTAGATAGGGAATACGGACTGGGAGAAAGAATATCAGAGTCAAGTACCCTTCTCATGTATCGTATCATTATATCAGCCTGACTTACTACTGGTTAATAAGGTTAGTGCAGTTAACTTGATCACTTAGTTTTTTGTTCACTGCATGTTTTTCCTTTGTAAAATTCACTATTTTCCCCCTTTCCATACTTTATTCATTAGAAGCAAGTTACTAAATCTATGCCTGACCCAAGAGGAGGGAGATTGAACTCCACCTCCTGGAAAGGCGAGTATCAGGAAATTGTGGAAATGCGTTAAAACCACAATAGTGATTAATAAATATCATAGGAAAGATACACCGAGGCTGTGTAAATACCGTTTCTCTGTAAAGTTCTGCCCACTAATGTTAACATTCATCTGTGGATCACGCCTGTAACCATTATTACTAAGATGTTCTAATGGTCATTTTCTATTTCCCTCATCCTTTCTATATTTATTATTTGGAATTATTCTCTAAGGAAGATAAGTCCCTTTTCCTCCTTTTGTTTATTTATTCAATAATTTAATTGTATCAGTATGAACTCAGAGATATTGATTTTAGTTCTTAGGTTATAATCCAATATCATGTATTTTGTTGCTCAAATTTGTTCCAGGTTTAGCCATTGGAAGCTCTTACAGATTAACTTCTGTGTTTTATTAACATACCTTTATCTGTCTTGTGGGTTGTTTTTCGCACTTCCTTGCTTTCTGGTGCTACAAGATGCCACAGATTCCTCTTGCATTTTCCTGATATAGCCCTAGAGTTAACTGTTTCTCCAATTTTTTTTTTGGCAGGTTGGTATTTAGAAACTAAGATCTGGGCGTTAGGTGTGCTCATGACTACTAGAGTGTCACTGCTTCTAGGCCCTCTCAGTGAAGTTAGGCTCCCACCACTGCTTATTTTTAATTTCTTTCTCTGACAGGGAGAAACATGGTTCCCATCATCTACAATTAATTTAAGTATTTGCTCAACCCTCCTACACATGTAAAGTAGTTTCAGAATTGCTAACCAAATGAGAAACTAAATTTACTGACTAGAATACAATTTCTATGTACAGTTCTTTTTTGTCTTTAGCCTGAGAGTATCCAATCAAACACTCTTCCAAAGTAATTTAGGTCTGTTTCCTTTTCCCTACTCCCTCCAGAGAAGTTATGTCATACATTTGTAATACAGTTATAATACAGTTTATCTCAGTCTTCTTCCTGTCCTAGCATCTTCCAATATCCTGATTAATTTTCTAAAAAATTGCACTTTGTAGCCAACCCCTACTCCCTCTACAACATATAACAACCACTCATCTGTTTTCAATTCCAATAGTTTTACCTTTTCCAGAATGCCATGTATTTGTAATCATGATATACGTAACCTTTTGGGTCTGGCCTTTTTCACTTAGTAAAATGCAAGTAAGAGTCACCCATGTTGTTGTGTGAATCAACAGTTGAACAGTTGAATTAACAATTTCCTCCTTTTTTGCTGCTAGGTAGTATTCCATTTTATGTACACAGATTATTTATCTCTTTATGTGTGTTTCCAGTTTTTTTGTGATTTATGAATAAAGCTGTTAAAAATATTCATATACAAATTTCTGTGTGAACGTACGTTTTCTATTTACTTGGGTAGATTTCAAGGAGTACAATTGCTGGGTAGTATGAAAAATAGACATATAACAATAAAAAACTGACAAACAATTTTCCAAAGTGACTGTATTATTTTGCATCATTTCTCACCAGCAATGAATGAGAATTCCTGGTGCTCCTTGCTAGCATTTGTTATTGTCAGGTTTTTGTGTTCTTGTTGTTTTAACCAATCTGTTAAGTGTGCAGTGGCATTTCATTTTTTTAATTTGTATTTCCCCAATGACTAGTAATGTTAAGGTTTTTGCTGTCCATTTATCTTTGGAGAATATCTGCTCAGATCATACAGAATTTCTTCTATGTTTTCTTCTGGAATTTTTATATTTCTACATTTTACATTCACATCTATGATCTATTTTGAGTTAATTTTTGTGAAAATGTGAGGTTCATGTGTCCAGGTTCATTTTTTGCATATGGATGTCCAATTGTTCCAACACCATTTGTTGAAAAAACTATTCTTTCTCCAGTGAATTGTCTTTGCATCGTTTTCAAAAAATCAGTTGACTACATTTATGTGGGTCTAATTTTGCATTTTCTATTCTGTTCCATTGATCTGCATCTATCCTTTCACTATACTACACTGTCTTGATATTTGTAGTTTTATATTGATTGAGATCAGGTAGTATAGTCTTCCAACTCTGTTCTTCTTTTGTTCAAAATTGTTTTGTCTATTCTACTACTTAGCCTTTTCACATGAATTTTAGAATCAGTTTGTTGACATCTATAGAATATTTGCTGGAATCTTTATTGAGACTGTGTTCGCTTGATACACTGGGGATGAACCTGGTATATATCCCCATTTATTTAGATCTTCTTTGATTTCTTTCATCACTATTTCATAGATTTTCATCATACAGATCCTGCACATATT